CTACTAACACTTCGATTGATCACTTTTATACGAGTTTTCGAATTATTTTAGCGAGAGCTAACAGACGCAGTGTAGACTCAGTGACAACCGGAAGAAGAAGAGAAATGGCCGACGATACGCGGTGTTACATGTTTACTATAGGTTTCCACTATTAAAAATATGAAATATGTTTCTATTTCAGTTTTTTCTAATAAAAAGACAAGGATAACAATGTTTTTTCTAAGAATACAAAACAGATTGTAATGATATCTTAAGTTGGTCAACGTAAATTCCTGAACAGACTAAAGTACTTTATTCTTATTAGTTATTTTTGTTCAGAAGTACATTTTTCTAAGTTACATTTATCTTATACTAGCTGTTCCCGTGCGACTTCATCCGCATGAAATTGTGAAAATTTTATTTTATTATTCACATTTGTCAAATTATCAATAGCAAATGTCAAAATGACATGACATGACAAACCTTGACAGTCTTGCTTCCTTGATGTTGGCAGCAACTTATGGCCTCTTTCCCACATTAGGGTTTTATCCAAAATATTTACCCCCTAAGTTTAATGGGGTTAAAATATGTAGCTTAAAGCATGACGTAAGTGTAGGGCTTTTTAAAAAAAAAATATTTAAAAATATGCTGTATCTTAGGCAACAAAGAAGTGTGTGTTTACGCTTTATTATAATAGTATAGAAGTATAGATTACATACATATACACACAAATAACGATCGAAAATGAGGTCAAAGAAAAACTAATACAGAAAGTTAAGAAGGAACAAATGACGTGATGACATTTTGTGTTCCACGAATGTTTTCTTTTTATTATAAGACAATGCGGCGAAATCATATTTCCATTACTTATAACAAAGACTTCTTACTTTATTGTTTACATTACAATGTTTTATCTGTTATATTGTTTGTTGGAATTTATTTCAATCCTTAAAGTGTTTTACAATAATACTTAATATAGCTTTCGCCCGTGACTCGGTCTGCAGGGAATTAAACAAAATAAAAGTAAGACGCCTTATGTGTTCTTCCAGACTATCGTTTACATCTATGTCAAATTCCATCGAGATCCGTCCAGCCGTTTAGACTACAAACACTAACAAACATCCATCTAAACTTTCGCATTTATAATATTAATAATATATACTTCAGTACCTTTATAACTATTTTTATATGCACAGCGTCAAAGATGTTTTATCGAATTATACGCCGGGACGAACTGGGTTAATAAACAATTAGCAGCAAATATAACGCTTTAAAAATACTTGCACGATTTGTATCGACAAATTAACGTTAAATACAACAGCATGATTAAGTTTACCTACAAACGAAATTAGGACTAACTTTTCCTAAACAAGGATTTATTGAGTTATTCTTTTCAGAGGTAACGTAATCCAATTTGATCTATCATGACGATCGTTTATTCCAAAGATCAATAAACTGAATGGTTGTAATGATTGAATACAATAAAAATACGGTTATAATTAACCTTCGGATTCGCCCCAGGTTCGTCTGTATCAAAGAACTAGCTGTTCCCGTGCGGTTTCATCCACATGAAATTATGAAAATTTTATTTTTGTCAAAATATCTTTAGCAAATGTCAAAATGACATGACATGACAAACCTTGGCAGCAACTTATGGTCTTTCCCACATTAGGGTTTTTATCCAAAATGGCAAATAAATTTTAGAAGATCTTGATTAGTTTCGGAGCTAATTAAGTGCAAACAAACAAACAATCAAATCCTTCCTTTTCATAATATTAGCTTAGGTAATATAGAGATTATCATTTATAGCCTGGTCATTGTGAATATCTAAATATTTAAAATTCCACTTGCTTTTTTATAAAAGTAGTATAAAAATCTATGCTATAAACTCCAAGCAATATTAACCGTAAGGATCTATTATTATATTAAATATATTAAAAGAATTGAGATATAAAAATGGCATAAATACTCAATAATAATGGAATAATCTCAGATCAACACGAGAGGTACGATTTGTATTCAAAAGGCGACATCGTTATTGAAAAGGCAAGCTTTATCTGAACTCAATAACGTCGGGAACAATCGTACAGATTTTCATTCAAATGTACCTATGATCAGACATGATGCTTATTTCAATTGAATTATGACAAAAGAATCAGGAAATAGTCAAATTTTATACAAAATTAAGAGCTTATCCTGTTGATGACACAACCAGTCAGAAAGAATAAGATAGGAGTTAACAATTTTGCATTATCTAAGTAGTAGTAGTAGTAGTAGGGGCTACGGTTTCCGCAACTTCACGACTAGCGCGTATTTTGCGTAAGAATAGGACATGGATTATTCCAGCCAACCCAGCTCACCGAAGAACCACAGCAAAGATTTTAAAAATGCATTATCTAAATTTCAGTCTTAGTGAAAGCACCGATATTTGTTCGTTTGCGCGCAAGCAGTTACAAATTTAACACAAATTACATCACAAACTAGCTGTTGCTCGCGACTTCGTGCTCATGAAATCATAAATTATAAAAAAAATATACCCTATGTTACTCAGCGATAACGTAGTATTTTAAATGTTGAAAGAATTTTTAAAATAGGCTTAGTAGTTTTTGAGTTATTTCAATACATGCAAAAGTCTAAAAATACAAATTTTTCCTCTTTATAATATTAGTATAGATATAGATTAATATTTTGGAGTCAAAGTATTTCAATTTATGAGATTTTATCCATCTTTAACCACAGCATTAGAGTGATTGAAATATTGTTTTACATTTGTCTGAAGAAAGTCCCGTCCATTACGGTTAAGCCTTGTAATTGCCTATGAATATTAAATGAAAGAAATTTACATTTTCGTGGTCGCATCTAGAGGGGACGCTGTAATCTTTGTAAGAATGAAACCTTTTGAAACATTTATTTTATTGAAATGATATATTAATATCATCTTTGGACGCAATTCCAGCTTCGCGATTTCGTGTAATGAGGTTAAGGGCCTATCCCACCACTAGCTGATAGAAGCACAGATAGCTTAAAAATAACGACACCGTCAGATAAGGGAACAAAATCCGATATTTCCATCACATATTTTACCCGTTGAGGTTATCAGACAATTTACAATTTGATAAGACAGGACCTAAGTCTTCATCGTTTTGTATTTCTCTTTAAGATACACCTCAAACACAAATTGAAGGTATTGAAAATTTTGTGCTATGATAATGTGACATGTCTACAAGATAGTTTTCACTTGAATGCACTTAATAATTTTAGAATAATGAGTTTAATAAAATTACCGTGAAAATATACGGAAAAGTTGAACAATCCTTAAAATGTTAGTTCATTACCAGCTCACTATATGTCCCCACCGAGGGGCTCGGGGCCTACCCTAAATTAGGGTGATTAGGCCATAGTCAACCACGCTGGCCAAATGCGGGTTGGTCGACTTCACACATATCTTTGAATTTCTTCGCCGATATGTGCAGGTTGCATCACGATGTTTTTCTTCACCGTAAGAACGTCGGGTAAATTATGTACATATGCGAAAAATCGAAAATCATATTGGTACACGGCGGGATTCGAACCCAAGACCTGTAGATTACAAGTCAAGTACTTAAACCACTGAGCCACTGACGAAATGTTAGTTATTAGTTATAAATTTAATTGCACATTTCCTTTATATAGCTAAACTAAAGCTATACTAGAAATTACCAACGACACGGTCATACATTTGCAGTGCATTGCTTTGTCATGTTAATTAACAATTTTCTGCACTTATATTAATTTCGAAACACGTATTAACTTAGTTTCTCTAACTAAAACACATTTTACACTAATTGAGTTGTATATTAATTTTAAAATAACTATTTACTATTTACTATAGCGTTGATTAACGTTTTCGTACTACAAAGTGAGTTATATAAATTTAATTAGTGCTTTAAACTTACATGTTACTTTAGGAAAATTAATAATATATTAGTTAGAAGCCAACCCTTATATATGTGTAAGTACAATGTAGCCTTAACGAGGCAACTTTGTGGTACATTTAATGAATAAACTGCTAAGGAACTAACTTAAATTTTAATCGTTTTATATCCAACTGTAAATCATACTAATATTATGAATGTGAAAGTTCAGATGGGTGGATGGATTTTTGTTAGAGTTTGTAGCCTAAACGTCTGAACGGATTTCGAAAGATAGTATAGATGTAGAGGATAGCCTGGAAGAACACATACGCTACTCACTTTTGTTTTTTTAATTCCACGCGAACGGAGTTACGGGCGAAAGCTATTCTAAAATAGAATTAAATATTAATTCATGAATTTGAAATAAATACTTTTTTCATTATGAACTCGTCCAGAAATGGTGAAAGTAGAAAATTAATAGGTCGGTTACCTTGTGTTATTCAAAAACAATAGCGGTTCGAAAACTTTTAGCCTGAACAATAGAAATTGGTCCGAAATCCAATTGTCGAAGCGAAATGGAAACCATTCCAATCACTTCTGTATAAAGTTACAATCAAATGGTATCGTAAATCGAATTTAGGGCTCTATCGTTAAGAAGACTCGATGTTTTCCGCCACTAACCATAAATTAATTCCTTTCGTTCAATAATCATAAACGTTACATTGTTCAATCGTTCATTATAAACCTAGGCTTTTATTTTAGTGTTGACGGATGCATAAAAGGTACACGAATTCAATGACACTCAGAAGAGATGCTCCAAAGAAGACACCACCAACTCCGCCAATGTCCACTGAAAAATACAAATAATCTTTAATATTATAAATGCGAAAGTTTAGATGGATAGATGTTTGTTAGAGTTTGTAGCCTTAACTGTTGAAAGGATCTAGAGATGTAGAGAATGGTCAGCAACAACAAACAAATCACCTTTAATTTAGGGTGGCTCAATGGTGGTATGTAATGATTTGATAATGATGATATACGAACAATTTCAAGCAGACACACCGATTTTAATATAATGACTCAGTAAGCGATGGCGTATTCTACCCTGATAGTACAAAACTTACCAACAAGTCCAAGAGTGTCTCTGATAGCAAGTCGTCGTACACGTAAGGAGGGCAGCTGCGCCAATCTCACTTTACCACGAGTTCCACGCGATGCTAGTTCACCACTGGCGCTGTGTCGTCTATAAAAAAAACCAGAATTGTGGAGACAATATGGATGAGGAGTCGTGGGCTGTAACTGAGAAGGTATACTCAGTGACTTTTCATATTGTAACGATCCACGAAGAAAAGACAAGAAAGATAAATGACACGAAAGTGAATAGCAATTTTCCCGCTTACGGATTTGCGGCAAGTTTAACATAACCTCGAACGTAGGTTGTAATATGTAAATATTAAAATTGATATCACATCAAAAAGGTATATTATCTGGAGTACTTACACAAAGAATTTGTGCACCAGTTTATAGAGTATTTCTTCGCATCCCATCGGACAGCTGCAAGTTGGGTTTTCCAGTGATTCTGTTTAAAAAAGATACATTGCAAGTGATCTGAAGATCCTATAGATAGCTTTTTTCTGTTACAAGACTGTAAAACTAGGATTTAATTATGATTTCTAAAAAAAAATTGCATAAAGTTTTAATACCTTTATTTTTGTTGAGACACACCAATCCTTGTATGCCACAAACCGGAACATCACCTGGAAGGGCACAAAAATATTTAATATGTTTAGAATGAAAATCAAGAAAGGATTTTAAGCATATTTCAAATATAGTACAGTTTAGTATGTTATCATACTAATCATACTAACATTATAAATACGAAAGTTTAGATGGATGGATGGATGGATGGATGTTTGTTAGAGTTTGTAGCCTGAACGGCTGAACGGATTTCGATGTAATTTGGCATAGATGTAGAGGGTTGTCTGGAATAACACATAGGCTAATCATTTTTTTTTTTAATTCCACGCGGACGGAAGCTATTAATTAATAAGGAATAATGTAGAACTACATAACAATGAAGTGTTAATTAAAGAAAAAGCTATGAACGAATGAAGTAAGAAATTATGAAAATAAAAACATACCTATCTTGGGCATGACATGATATGCGCAGTTGCAGAATTCATACTGAGCCATAGCCCGGCAGTACAGTACGCAAGCGCTATATGAATACTTCTTGAAGGGCCACTTGTCGGCGAAATTCGGGCGTTCGTGCTTGAATAGACAGCCACGAACATCAGGATCCAGTGCTATAACTGACACGTCACTCACGGTTTGTTCAGCCTGGAAACAATCCATTTATCAATCATCATGTAGATTATCAAAGTGAAATATAGAAATATTCCATTTTAAAATTACCATATAGTGATTTTTATCTATTAAACATTAAAATTCAATAAAGTAGATGACAATAAAAATAAACTTACGATTAAACATAGTCTATTTCTTTGTGAATCTTCAATCTGACAGACTTAAAATTATGTTAAGACTAGAATACCTACCTTTAAAATAACTTCTACATCAGTAACTAGCGGAATCGAGGCCGAGGATCCGAGCGCATTATCCATCATCACTGACACCACGTCATCTGGTCCGTGTACACGAATCTTAAATGAACAAGGGATTTCACAAAGTACCAAGAAGCTAAATAACACTGAAGACAATCGAGACTATTGACACTTCGATATCTAACAAGACAATTGACTATCGCAATTAACAAACATAAAAACCCACGAAAACCTCAATAACTACTCATCAATAAACTTCACTAGTCTACAGAATAATTCATGAGATACGAATGTTATAAATCTAAATTATATTTCAAAGCAAACATTATCAAAAGAATATGAAGAATAGTTTGTAAAAGACGCTTGTAAGAGACCAATTACTTTTGGATAAAGAATTAACATACCCAAATAGATTCAATAGCAGTGAACACAAGGGTCGGCAATCCAACGCGACGATTGACTGTTATTGTACTGGAATCATTCCCCGTGAGACCGGAATTAAAACTGTAACATACTCCGTACTCCGTGTCTACTGCTGCAAACCTGGAAGTGAAATGAAAAATGATGCCTGTTCTACGAGTATATCTCTGTATGTTTCTGAACTGTGTGAGAGTAATGATAAGTTATTATCTAAAAATTCATCAGTAACAATATTTTTTTAATATCTTACCAATGTTATAAATGCTGAAGTTTAGATGGTTGCATGTTTGTTAGAATCTGTAGCCTAAACTGCTATACGGATCTTGATGAAATTTGACGTAGATATAGAAGATTATATGGAAGGACACATAGACTGCTCACTTTTGTTTTTTTTTTATTCCACGCTGATGGGGTCGATAGTTAGTTTCATCATAAACTACCTGATGATTCAAGGTGACAACATAAAAATTAGACTCTATCTCATTGATATTACTACTACTTACTTACTACACAAATTTAACTATAATTTATAACCTGTCACAACAACGAAAGGGTTTCCCATCCCACCAGCAATCAGTCAGTATCTGGTTACACTTGAGTCGTATTTGACGAACCGATTCTTCAAACTCCTGTACAGAGGTCACATTAGGCTTGTAAATGCTGCAATGCTTGCAGTATTTGGCATTCCAATAAACCACCTCTTTGTAGAAATTCGTCAATGATATCGGTAGCTTGTTCCTATAAATAAAACCTTATTACAGTTATTGTTACTAGGATGAGTACAAGTAATTATTTCCTGATTATTAAGGTGATGAGGGAAATTGAATACACATAACTATGGTTTTTATTTTAAGACTAGTTCATTGAAAACGCTTGCTTCAAAACTTTCTTTGTTTTACAATAGGTGGTGAAGGAGAAGATGGAATACCAAGGATTACTTACGCCCATTGACAATATGATTTCTTAAGCTCTTGTATTAATGAAATAGGCGGGCCTATAATGTTCTCTAAAATTGGTCAAGCGGTCGAGTTAGATAAAAGTAAACTAATAGATTTACATAAGCATTTAATTAATCCTTACGCAACAAGGTAAGCTTTAATACGCTCCGTGCTCGGGGACTCGCATACAGTGAGAGTTGGGAACGGCGTGTCCCAATCTAGATAATTAGTTTCCACTGAAAATGATACCGCGTCCTCTGAATATAGGCTCAGTGCTGACCGCAGAATTACGAGAGCGCCCAAACTGCATACAGTCAATATTGTCAGCCAGAATAATCTGAAATTAAATTGACATAAAATGCTTATCTGAATGTAATGGGAACAGTTTCTGAAAGATTATGTAATGTTCGTAAGGTACGGGTTTCTTACCGCGATTGGGTTGTTTTAACTCCCGATATTTCTGTATAATTGCATGCGCTGTTGACTGGCTGACTGAAGAGATACGGTAGTGCGAAAAAAAACCGTATCTTACGAACATTATATGTGATAAACCAGGGTAGTTTAAAGTTATGTATCTAAAAGATATACCGATCTAGCCGTTCCCTCAATTTGACTACCAATCTGTGTGATACTTTAACAAAAGACGATCTCGAAACCGATTATAACAAGAAGAAATTGATTGTAAATGGATGGATCTTTTAGAAGCCGGGTAATTGTTTATAAGAATATTCTAGAAATCTACCTTTCAAACCAAGATATGTGAGTTCTGGAGAAAATATGTCGTATACCATGAAAACTACTTCTTTCTCCGAAATAATTGATTTTCTTTCTGATGTTTTCCATGTTGAATACTTACTTCTTTTAGTGAAATTGAATTGTTGCCGTTTTTATAGCGATTCATGTCGCCTGAACATGAGCAGGTAATGCATTTTGTATGTTAACACGATACATCATATAATTTTATTAGTCACGCAAAATCTCGACTGACAGGTGGGTAAGGATTTTTCCGCGTTTTGTGTGTAGTTATTTATGTATATCAATTCTTGTATAATAAACGGCTAAACCAATTTAGACGAAAGATGTCGTTTATATCCTAAAGTATCAAAGTTAAGGGAAGATTTAAAAAAAAAACGTACCTTTTGTTAATACCAGAATTTTTGACAAAAAAATTTAACCAGATCTTTTGTTTACATGAAATATTTTATTGAACCATAATTCTTGAAAATAGAGAGACTTTTTTCTATTGTTTATTACTACTTTCAATACTTTTAATCTGTGTTAGATTTCTTATCCGACATTTATAGTTGCTATGCGATCGTCATATCATATGATAAGTTAGATAACAATTGGAGTAACTTCTTATCTTTGTTAATAGTTGTTTTTTCACTGCTTTTATTATTTTTCTGCTACAATGAGCAAGATCAAGTGTATTTTATAAAAAAATCACGTAAAACATCTAACCTAATAATTCAAACATAACTAAAAAACAATAAGTATCAATGAATTTGATAAAACAAAATTTGAGGGTAAAATATATTAATTGGTTAACAAAGACTATATATACAAAAAATGTTAATAAGTCTATAATAATCGAAATACGTTATAATTGTTATTTAATATTTATCAAAGATCATTTTAAAGTACTGGCTTATCACAAATATACACCGAGTTAAATAAACACAGAAAACCAATTCTTTATAAACAACTATATTATCATGCAATATTGCTGTCTCAGTCATTACACCAGTATTGAAGTGAACGTACGCGACGCGCCTGCGCAGCGCAAAAAATGTTTAAAAATAGAACGATTTAAAAATCTCATTCCACAAGAAGTGTCAATCGTGTTCCATTTTCAAAATTATGAATATTGTTTGTTAAACATTGTGTGAAACAGAGAAGAAATGATCGCGTTTAGTAAAGTTGGAGTGAGACAGTTGGTAAGGTGGAAGGAGTACGGATGTGAACGGATCAAGTACCATTCTGGAGCGGGAGTGTTCGGGCATCGACCGCGAGCTGTCAACGATGCCGGTATGGAAGTTAGAAGGACGTTGCAATATGTGTTATTTAAATCGAGTTTATACAAGTACAAGGACACTTAAGTACAAAATCAAAGTAAATCTACCAAGTTAAACACAAATGTACTAAACTGTACCCGCGGAAGCAAAGCGGAAACAGCTAGAACTAGAAATGTCTTTACATTGTAAACATTTGACTAATTCAATAATTTAAAAAGTCTTTTCAAGTTTAATTTGTAATCTGGTAATTGTCAGGAATGACCTATTACCTCGTTAGATATGAAATTATTATCTACGGTAAAAATTAAGTTACAGCAAAATACATTGTAAAAAACATTTCTATAAAAGATAATAAATAGCAAACTTTATTTACTAATTGATGATAAGAATATAAGAATATAATTTTTACATTTGGATTTAGATATACCAGAAAGCCTTATTGTGAAAAGGTACGAGAACTGTCGGGCGCAGCAACTAGTCAACGCTTATCGGACATACGGCCATCTGAAAGCTACCATTGATAATGTAGATTACAGAAATGATAATAGGTAAAAAAACATTTGAATCTATACTAATTTATTGTGTTAGTAATTAAATCTTTATCAAATAACAATAACACCCCAAAATGTTTAATATAAAAACAATGTTACATCGCTCAAAAATTTTAAACTGTCCCCATAGTTTTCTTCAAATATTGACAAATGTTATCCATAATCGGGATTCGAATATTCCTTTACCCTTAAAATACTCCAGTAGCATTACGATTTTTTTACACTACGAGCTTTCGCCCACGAATCCGTCGTGGAATCAATAAAAAAGAAAAGTGAGTAGCCTATGTATTCTTCCAGACCATCTACATCTATACCAAATTTCATCGAAATCAGTTCAGCCGTTTAGGCTACAAACTTTAACTAACATCAATCTAATCTTTCGCATTTATAACATTAGTATGATTACCTAAAATAATATAAACAACTAAACATTCCAGAAAAATAAAAGAATTGGATCCGTCAAGATACGGATTGAATCCACAGGATTCCGTTGATGTTGGGTTGCTGTATGGATATGACAACAAACAGACGGCTCAGCAACTTGTTGAGCAACTGGAAAGCATCTATTGTGGAAATATCTCATATGAATTTTCATATTTAGAGGTGTGTACATATTTTTATATTCATATTTTCATAACATAAGGGAACAAACGACTATACGGCCACCTTAATTCTTCACTAAAATGTTGAAGCGACCTCTCCTTAGACAAACGCAATTGCAGATGCGTCGCCTACCCTAATCGACGAAAGAGAAGACGCACATGAAGAAGATGATTCCTCTTCCTATGCGTCTCCTCCACCGTCAAATCCACATTCCCTCCCCATCCTTGCCTTACAATAAAATCATGGGTAATTGACTATAATTAGGCCTCCGGCACGCTTCTCGTTTCCTAAAATAATCTAAAAAAATTGTAACTTTTTAGTATCAAAATCTATAATTCCTTTTTCAATATTCGTCTTCCGGATATTTATCAACTTTAGTAGATAACGCTGAATACTTATTTCTGTTATAGACAGAAGCAGAAAGAGAATGGTTTGCTCAACGGATCGAAGCAAGCTCAGATCCTATTGGTGATGGGAGAAGAATTGAAATTCTAAAGGAACTTCTACATTCACAAGCATGGGACAAGTTCCTAAGTGTAAAGTATCCAACAGTAAAGCGATACTGTGGAGAAGGCGCAGAATCTCTTCTAACATTCTTTTCAACATTATTTGGATTAACAACTTCAGGTTTGTAACTTTTAAATCATTCGCTTAAGCGTTACTTTTAAAAAGCAGTCTTACGAGAAAGCAATAAGACTCAATCTGCAGTAGTCAAGTGGTTTAAGAGAGCGCGCACACCTTTAACTAAACTATCGCACAACTGTTTAGTCAGGCTTTGATTCCTATAAGCTTATATGGAGGTGCACACACTACTCGATTTAGTTGTACAACTAAACAGTTGAATTGGCTGCGAAACAATTGACCATCGCACAACATCTGTAATATAAAGGAATATTCAGACAAATCACAGCAAAGTAAAAACCACAAAGATTTGTTTGTTTAGTATCTACAAGGTCCTATAACTACAATACTTATCTGATTTGGAACGTCGAAAACAAATGACGTGCGAACTAAAATACCGGGTACTATGTTGGTAAATATATAATTTATAACTAGCTTTCACCCTTGACTCCGTCTTCGTGGAATTAATAAATGGGTAGCCTATCTGCTCTTTCAGACTATCTTCTACATCTATACCAAATTTCATTAAAATTCGTTCAGCCGTTTAGGCTACAAACTCTAACAAACATCCATCCATCTAAACTTTCGCATTTATAATATTAGTATGATCTAATTGCAGAAGGAGTGCAACAAGTAGTCCTCGGTATGGCACACAGAGGCAAACTAAACGTATTAAGCGGCTTGCTGAAATGTCCACCTGTGAAGATATTCCATAAGTTCACCGGCAAACCGGAGTTCCCGGACGAAGCGAACGCTGCCTGCGATATCTCAACACATCTGAGTAAGATATTTTACTTTGTTATTACTTACATAATATTGGTTATTTCTTATCTCTGTATTGGTACGGACAGAAAGAGTTTCAAACATTAATTTGTAATTTTAAATAAATTAATTTTAGGTGCATCCGCTGATATAACAATAAATAACAAGACAGTAAGATTTTCTCTCCTCAACAACCCATCACATTTGGAGGTATGCAAATCAATCAAATACATTTAAAACAATAGAATCAACGACACATGTAATAAAATTGGAGTATCTGTTTGTAATATCAGAAGAAAAATTCCAGATTTGGGTTACATAATGTATTTTTTGACTGTCTGTCAGTCTCCGAAACGGCTGGGCCGATTTCGACCGGACATTCACCGAAGGGTAGCTGACAAAGACGGTCATATTATAGGCTTTTTATCTTAATATTTCGTGGACAAATTTGCGGGCAACAAGTTATTTACTCAAATTTAAAATGTTTCAGGCCGCGAATCCTGTATCTATGGGGAAGACAAGATCAAAGCAATTGAAATTAAAAGAAGGTGATTACTCTGAAGATGGACTATCTAGAATGGGGGATAAAGTTCTCAATGTTCAGGTATTTATTACACTATTAAAATGTCTAAGCAATGAAAAATGTCTAAAGTGCCTTCTAAATTAAATGGCTATTATTAGGAAGTTATAGGATATAATAAATAAAGCCTATAATTCAGATCTTCTTACAAAGTTATTGAAAAAGTTTCTTATACTAATAAACTACTATACAGTCACTTCATTACTCTAGGATTTGATTCTTTTTTATTTGTTATAGATCTGTTTGCCAATCGACATAGGCCTCCTCCAACCTTTTCCACTCGCTTCTTTCTCTTGCCACCCTACTCCATGTTACTCCAGCAACTTGCTGATATCATCATCCCATCTTTTCGTTTAGCCTTTTCTCCTTTTACCTGTTCTAGGATACCATTGTGACACAGTCTCGGTCCATTTATTGTGTCCTCGTATCATATGTCCTGCCCATCGCCATTTGAGTCTTCTGATTTTGGTTGTTATATCTGTAACATTTGTCTTTGTTCTTATTGCACGATTTCTTAGCCTGTCCCATTTCCGAATACTGAGCATACTCCTCTCCATTGCATATTGACAACTTGCGAGTTTGTTAGTCAAGTTTTTGGTCAGAACCCATGTTTGGCAACCATGTGTAAGGACTGGTAGTACGCAGGTGTTAAATAGTTGACCTTGAGTTATGCAGTGTTTAAAACACTGCTTTTTTTTTTTTGACTGATTTGTCACTGTTTGCCTTGAAGAGGCATTTACAGATTCACCGGGCTTGCGGTGGCCCAGCGCGGATGGCGCTTAGCCTAAACCTCTTTTAAGAGTAACTAGGCTCGAGGGCTCCCTCAGGAGCCTCGGCTCGGGCCGTTACTTCGTTATTATTACCGGATTGGGAGGCCACCGAGCTCTTAGATCGCTTCGGTGGTCGCTCCATGGAGTGACTTAGCACAAGGGTCCCCGAGAGGGGACCTCGGCTTGGGCTGTCACTCAATACGCGTTTAGCATTCCGATTCAAGGGCGCCCGAGAGGGCCGAACCTCGACTTGATCGGTTGCTGCTATCTGATCATTATTATAATTATTAATACATCTAACATTACTACCACTTCGGAAAGCGTTAGCGCTGGGAGAAGAAGTGGCGGAAGAAACTCCAGCAACGCTTCTATCATTGATAGGAGAGAACCTGCCTGCTATGAGGCCGTATCGCGGGAATGATTGCCGTAGTCGACAGCGACTACGGCGTTTTGTCTGTCGTAGTTGTTTAATCCTAGCCTGAGCGATTGTTGTTGCATCGTCTTGAAAGTCAAGAACGTGCCTAGGTCTGCGATGATCACGTCGAAATTTACCGAGCGCGATTGAGTTGTAGGTGGCGGCACCTACAACTAACGAATTAATTAAAACACTGCATAACACACACACTGTTATAGGATATATCTAGATGTAAATAATTAAGTAAAAGTCTTTGTGTTGTCAGCGCTGTAATATTTTCAGATCCACGGTGATGCCGCTTTTACAGGCCAAGGTATAAACCAGGAAACCTTGATGCTCTCGCAAGCTCCGCATTTCGATGTCGGTGGATCATTGCACGTCGTTGTCAACAATCAAGTATGCTAATTAATTTTAAACCTTTTTCTTGCGAATTACTTAACTACGTTTTAAAAATATTATGCAATGAGAAAAAAATCGATTGTTACGGATAAACTCAAGTATTACTGGTACATAATTATAAGTGAAATCTTTATATTCCTTTTTAAGCAAATTGCGAAATCGATGAACATGAAAAAACACAGTTAAAGAAGGTTATAGAAAAAATATAACAAATTATGGTCAAATTTCCAACAATAGGCAACCCTAAATTTCATAATTGTTTCTAAAAGGGTTGTGTTTCAGTAATAACAGTAATTACTACAAGTCTTCAGTTCGTCCGTAAACAAAATTAACTAAACATTGATATCGTTGGATAATTATTTAATGAAGATTTATAATTTGCAGGTCGGGTTCACGTTGCCGGCGGAGCGCGGTCGCTCGTGTCGCTACGTGACGGATTTAGCGAAAGCCATCTCTGTACCAGTGATACATGTAAACGGAGACCATCCCGAGGTAAATTAAAATTATAATAAAGAATAAAGTTAAAAAAGGAAAGAAAATAAAGAAATTCTTGTTCATACGGGTCATACAAATTGATGAAGTACCAAGGAGAAATAAAGGATATTACTGCTAAATATAACTTTTATGGTAATAAATATAGCAAGCGAGAATCATAAAAATGGAAATTGGTACTCCATAAACATATCCGTACAAGCTTACTATCTACTTTACGAATATTTGAAGTACTTATCTTTGTATTATAACATAAATTTCGGTATACGTCGAAGGCTTTCTTTATAATAATTATCCTCAAACATCAACGTTATAAAAACATTTTATATTTTCCAGCTAGTCGTAAAAGCAACGAACATTGCGTTTGAATATCAGAGACGGTTTCGCAAAGACGTCTTCATTGACTACAACTGCTTCCGACGATGGGGACACAACGAGCTTGATGACCCTACATTCACCAATCCACTGCTTTACAAACTTATTCATAGTAGAAAGTAAGTAATTAAAAAGTAACCGCGTGCATGTTTGCCGATGACGTCCCCCAACTGACATAGACTGTGTCCCCCATTTGCTCAGAATCTTGATGTCAAGAACCCATCGATAAATTAAAATTCGACACAGCTACGTAAGATATATTCTACTTACTTGTTTGTCTATATATTTCTTTATATTTCTTTAGAACTACATTGAAAAAAAATAGAATAAAAGAAATAAAAAGAGATTGGATTGAATAGACCAAGTTGATCAAAGGACCAACGACCTAGTAGGGTCCGATCTTTGTGACTCTTTTAATAATGGTGCTGCGGGCTGTGAGTTTAAAAATCTTGTATCAAGTTTAACAATCTTTTAGTAAATACGTATAAATTTATTTTACAATTATGGAGATCTGTTTTCACAACTTCCCGACGTGTAATATAAATTTGTGTACAGGTCGATACCGGATCTGTACGCCGCGAGGCTTGTTTCAGAAGATTTGCTAAATCAAAACGAAGTGGATAAGATTTCCGCGGACTACACCAAGTATTTACAATCTCAATTCGAAGCTGTTAATTCCTATACCCCTGAGGTAACTATATTAATTATATTATTATTATTATAGAGTATTGTAATTTAGATATTCCTATCTTCGCCTCTTATACATTGACCACTTATTCTGGTTTAATAAATTATGTAAAGCAGACTTTTTCATAGTTAACGACTTTAGCATCGTAAAATTTTTCATCTACTTTGATGATTTACGGTTGAGGCTTTTTATTTCTTCAGAATTTCAAGATATTTCAGAATTCACTTATCAATTAATTAGATAATAAAAAAAGTAAAAGACATTTGAAATATAAATGAATTTATTTTCAGGTAACATATTACCAGGAGCAATGGTCGGGTATTTCATCAGCCCCTAAAGCTGTAGAAACTTGGGACACAGGTGTTAACAAGGAATTGTTAAAACAAGTCGGAATCGCTTCTGTTACTGCCCCAAGTGATTTTGTAAGTATCAAATGAACAAGGCAGAAGATAGAATGTGAAATAACAAATAGTTCCTATTGGAATAATAAAGCCCTAACCGAAACTACCGATTTTCCCAAATCTTATTGACAGAATGAAACAAGGATTAACTTGTTTTATTCCCTGTTTTAATAACAATTTACACTTTATAGATTTAAATATTAAAATTAAAATCTTTGACTAAACCATTGCACAACTGTTTAGTCGGGCTTTGATTCCTGACCTTATATGGACGTGCACACTACTATTATACTTGTGCAACTAAACAGTTCAATTGGCTGCGAAACAATCGACAATCGCACAACAATTGTGCGATCGTTTACTAAGAGGTATCCGCCTGGTCTTAATCGTAATATATATAAATAATTAAGAGCCTGTTCCACCACTGGCTGATAGAGGCTCAGCGTAAAAATGACGTCACTGTCAGATAAGGTAACAAAATCCGATATTTTACACGTTGGATTGTAATCAGACAATTTAAAATTTAGTGGAACAGACCCTTAATATCTAAAGGAGAAAGTTAAAATTTCTTGTTTAACTTAACATAATCCCGCGTGTACCTCGAGGCGGTAAATCAATTCCATGTTATGATTAATGTTCGTAACTTCGATGTCTAAGCGTTCCCTCGCAAGTCGAAGTCTGTTAGGCCCTCTCAATTTATGTAACGATGTTATTGATAATGTTGTTAGCAATTTGACTACAAGCTATAATTAACTCAATTAATATACATAGTTAGTTATAATGAAAATATATTCTCGTAATAGTGCACACTTTAGACCGCACAACTGTTATGCGATTGTCAATTGTTTCGGATCCTATTCAATTGTTTAATTGCAGTCAAAATCGAATAGTGTACGCACCTCCATATAAGCTCAAAGGAATGAAAACGCGACTAAACTGTTATGTGTTACTGAAAACTGACTAAAGTGTGCGCGATTTAACAAAATAAATAACGCAGCAATTAATGAATGAGCGAACTGTTTAAAGCTACTTCAATTTAAAAAGTGTTTTAAAGTAAAAGTGTTTTGAAATGATCTGTATAGCGCTAGATTAAGATATCTATATTTAAATTTATTATTATTATTTGCAGAACGTACATTCTCATTTAGCAAAAACCCACATCAGGAATCGTTTGAACAAGATATCCGAAGGAAGGGAGATTGATTGGGCTACAGCCGAAGCCTTAGCGTTTGGTATGTTTTTTTTTAAACTTCGGCCAGGTAGCAAGTTAAAATCTAGCCTATGTTACTCAGCGAAAACGTAGCTTTTTAACAGTGAAAAAATTTCTGATATCGACCCGATATTTCAATGATAAGTAAAATATCTGTTCTTGGTTTCGAGATAAAACATTTAAATAGATATTAGAGGAGTAAACATTTGCATACACAAAGGAAGAAAATGTAAAGAATTCAATTTAAGGAAGCCGTAAGATACAATAGTAGAGTTTACAATCTTTAGTTTAAAGGCCATACACAGATTCAAGCACTCCATGATATCTAGGTCCTTTTTGTCATAAAATGCTGATTTAAAAGACGTCAAATAATGAACTCTCTTTGCAAAACACATGTTCTTAATGCCTTTGTTACTGATTGCAGGATCTCTACTAATGGAGGGTCGTCACGTACGACTGTGCGGGGAGGATGTAGGCCGAGGCACCTTCTCCCATAGACACGCCATGCTCGTCGACCAACAGACGGAGAATATACACATACCTCTCAATCATATACATAAAGACCAGAAAGGATTCCTAGAGGTAAATAAATTTATAACTTAACTAGCTGTCGCTCGCGATTTCGTCGGCGTGAAATTAATAGAAATACAGCCTATACTATTCACTGATAATGTAGCTTTTAAACGGTCAAAGAATTATCGAAATCGGCCCAGTAGTTATTGAGTTTTTTCAATACATAGAAAAATGCAAAAAGCCAAATCTTTTCTCTTTTTAATATTAGTATAGTCATATCCATTTAAGAGGATTTTTGTGATAGCAGAAGTTAGGTAATGTCTAGAGTTACTGAATAAATTACCCTATCACATGTCCTCGTATCTTGAATATGAGCGGTTACAAAGAGCGTGCGCTTTGACTAAATTATCGCACAACTTCGCACTTTAATGGAAGTTTGCACACTACAGTTGAATTGTCTGCGAAACAATCGACAATCGCGCCACAGTCGTGCGATAGTTTAGACAAAGGTGTGCGCCCGGTCTAAATAAAAATTTCGTTACATCTTCTTTTTCTACAGCAAACTCAAATCACGTAAATCTAAAATGAAATAAACAAAAATAGCTTCAGAATAATTGTACTATCCTTGAATTAAATAAGCGATAAAGGGCAGACTCGCAGAAAACCTAATGGTTTTCCTCGAACGAAGATCGGAAATAATTCTTCCGCTCGGCTGCCTCAGGCCGCGGTCCCTTTTTATTTCTCGTGACAATACTGTTAGAGTGTAACAATTTGTACGTTCTTTTTTTATTTAACAACTTATCTCTTTCAAATAATTGACGCTTCACGAAATTCAGACTTTCTTTTAAAGAAATTTGTTTTTTTTTTCAATTGTATTGTTTCTTTTAAGATGTTCACAAAATTTAGTATCGTAACACAATGGGTTTATTGAATTCCATTTTATATATTATATCATAGAATTTTCTAACGTTTCTATACTAGTTTTTAAGAAACATATATTTGAATGTAACGAATAATCTCTAACATTATTGTTCGGATTTAAAAAAGTATTTGTTGGCAAAAAATATTGTTATTTTTATATTGCACTGTAACTATTTTATTATCTTCAAAGGAAATGTTTATTAAAATTTGATACACTGCTATATTTGATCCTTCACCCGTCTTCCCTCATTATTATTCAACGACATTCGCATTATCAAACAGGTCGTGAATTCAATTCTATCGGAGGAAGCTGTCCTGGGCTTTGAATACGGCATGGCGTACGATTCGCCTGATAACTTGTGTATATGGGAAGCTCAATTCGGTGATTTCTACAACGGCGCGCAAATCATTGTTGATACGTACATCGCTTCTGGTGAAGGTAGATTTTCTGTTAATACTAGATAACTGTCATATAGTTTTTAAAGTTAAGAAGTGGGACAATTTGTGTAGATTTTTCATACTTAAGGCCTGTACCACAATTGGCTGCTAGAGGCTCAGATAGTTTAAAAATGACGTTACTGTCAGATAAGGGAGCAAAATCCGATATTTCCATCACATTCTTTAGACCTTTGATTGTTATCAGACAATTAACATATTAAAAATCTAAATGTAACCAATGTTTATAGCGAAATGGGTGAGAAGCAACGGCTTAGTGATGCTTCTTCCGCATGGATATGACGGCGCGGCTTCCGAGCACTCCTCCTGCAGGGTTGAGAGGTTCCTACAGCTCACTGACAGCAAGGAGACGGCACCGGACTCGGAAGCAGTTTGTATGCATGTGGTCAACCCGACCACGCCTGCACAGTACTTCCATTTGTTGAGAAGACAGGTATAAATACTTAAACTGTGGACTGTATTATTCTATACTGCATTAAGAATTACGGCCGAATTTTGAAACGATATTTAAATAGTTATTTAATAGAATCTTAAATAGTAATGCCACGCTTTAACTCCAATACCATTAAAATTTAGACTTTAAGTTGATGAATTTTGATTAAAAGCGTTTCAGTTTTCAGCCCTTTTTATACATTATTGTAGTAGAGTTTTTATTTGGAATAATGATAATTAAATTACAGACTTTGTTAATAATAAATATAAAAAAATGTTATTAACAAAATTGGCACGTACCATGATCAATTGTGGAAACAACGGTTAAAGGAATGTTTATAGAAATTGAAAGTCATCGACCTGCAAATTGGCACTCATTATCGCGTAACGATCGCTTCTTAACATAACATAGTTTTATGAGTTAGACGAAGTAGTAAAACTTCTTTTATCTACACTTACGACATATATATCTTTTTATTTGTACACAAAATAAGTCCTGTGTACTTATACGAGTCGACCTAATTCTAGACATTGAGTTTATGAGTACTCATTATCTCAAACTTAGCATAGTTTATATCTAATATCTCACGGCAAAAGTATTCGCTATCATGTTATAAGAAAGTTTCGTATTAGTATAATATTTTTATTAATGAAATATTTGCAATTTTAATCGAGTATTCTCAAAATAATGATCATACTAATTTTATCGATAATGTTACGAATACTCATAAACAGAACGAAAAAACTTAAGATTGTCAAAATATCTTACTAAGAAAATCTATTAATCTTACTACAATAATCAAATTTCTATACAGGACTAATAACCCAAGTGCCTGCGACAGCCAGAATTTTTATTTCATACTATAGCTGTTGCTCGCGACTTCTTCCGCGAGAAATTGCAAACGAATGTTACTCACAGATAAATTACCTTTCTAACTGTGAATTTTTTTTTATAATAGGCCTAGTAGTTTTTAAGTTATTTCAATACATACACAATACAAATCTTTCCTCTAAATTATATTACTATGGTAAAGCAGAAATTTATATTATGCACGTACCTTATAAAGGTAGAAGAAATCTGCCATTATGTAGTTTGGTTTATGGTTACTTTGAAAAGTAATCGGTATTTAAGATGTATAAAATTACCTGTTTTATAAAAGTACCCTGCTTTCGTCATTTCATAAATGATGACTTACCTGATCAACTTTCAAAATATCCATACTCGTTTTTTTTTACCCCTAAGACACGTGCAAAAATTTCAGCTATTATAAAATAAGGAAGGTCTAACTGTCGCTGGCTTTAGATCTATAATAACCGTTCTATTTCACACTTTATTTGTTCTATAGGTCATTCGTAACTATAGAAAGCCACTAATCGTCGTAGCTCCTAAAGTTTTGCTGCGATTGGCGGACGCTGTCTCTCCCCTGTCAGACTTCGTGCCGGGGACGCATTTCAAACCTGTCATCGGTGAGTGTTACACTTATTGACGCACGAAGAAACATTGAACGTTAGAATATCCGAATTTTGTAAAAACTGAAATGTTCGGTTCAATTCTTCGCAGTCATGTTAGAGCAAAACCGAAAATATTTTTCGGCAAAATATTTCGCTGGAAGTTGACCTGACCTATTTAAAAAAAATAGCTTAGACAGATTTTTTTGTTTTTATTTACTTGGATTATGGATTGTTATATATTATGGCTATGGCCTAGTCAACCCTAACTTAGGCCCCTTAGTGGGGACATAAGCTGGTAATAATACACATTAAGTGGAATTATTGTTTTAATAAAAAAACAACCGCTAACATTAAAATTTAGATTTTTTTTCCAGGTGACACTTTAGCTGACCCATTAAAAGTTAAACGTATAATATTAGTCAGTGGAAAACATTACTACGAGCTGAACAAAGAAAGGATTAAAGGGAACATAGAAGACGTGGCTATATTAAGAGTGGAATCTCTTAGTCCATTCCCCCTTTACGCATTACAAAAAGAACTTGAGAAATATTCAAATGCTAGAAGTAAGTATAACAACCTGATACTAGAATAAATTTGATTCTAATTATGATAATGGAATAATAATCTATTTATTCTTCCCAATCCCTCTTTTGAATAAGGAAATTGCTTTAAAAAGTTTCTCTCCCGAATACATACTTAATGGAAAAGCGCTCAGAATACAGAGTAAACTTCTAATAAGAATAAAATTATCTTAAAGGTTGTGCTACTCATTTAAAATTAAAAGTGTTCGAACAATTAGTAATTGTTTTTTACCTCTGTTTAGGATATATCTGGAGTCAAGAAGAGCATAGAAATATGGGAGCTTGGACATTCGTTAAACCTCGTTTTGAAAATCTACTCGGAAGAAAGGTAACTATTATAATAATCAACACTAAACAATAATTTATTCATTAATTTGATAATACATTAATTCTGAAAACATTGATATACATGATACTGGCTGATAGAGTCTCAAATAGCTAAAAAATGACGTCACTGTCAGATAAGGGAACAAAATCCAATATTTCCATCACATATTTTACACGTTCGATTGTTATCAGACAAGTTACAATTTAGCGGGACAGGCTCTAACAAATGTAATTTTCGCTGACGTCATCGCACTGGTCTGTATGGCGACATGGCGAGCCAACAGGAAATCGAACTCGGCGTTCAGTTTCCGTACTCTATCAATCCGAAATACGCTTTCAATATTGCACCAACTACACGACCTGCTGAACCATGCATTTAATGAGTAAATTGATATTAAAATTAAACTATTTTTTACTTTCAGTAACCTAAAACTACCTAAGTTTTTAATTAAAATATACCTCAAAGTAAACTATCGCACAACTGTTTAGTTGCGCTATGACTCCTATGAACTTATATGCACACTACTAGATTTTTAGTTGTGCAACTAAACAATTGAATTGACTGCGAAACAATTGACAATCGTCAAACAGTTGTGCGACAGTTTAGTCAAAGGTGTGCAACCACTCTAAACAATCAACAAAGACTATCTTCACAGTTAATACAAACTCATCGAAAGGAAACATCTTCTAAGGCACTGCGTTTAATAAAAAAGATTATTGTTAACAGTGGTAGAGCCCGCTTTAACACGAGCACGAATGGGCCGGCTCGCCCGGTGTAATACCACGACCACACACAAAACGGGCGTGAAGTGGAAGCAATTTCGCGTTTCGTCTGATGAGTGTGGTGCCGGAGGCCTAATTTTAGTCCCTTTTCCCTTCCACCCTTTTCTTAAGAGGAAAGGATGGGAGGGAAAAGAGGATTTGACGGTGGAGGAGACGCTTAGGAAGGGAAATGTCCTCTATATGTGCGTCCCCTCCTCCGTCAATTAGGGTAGGCAACGCATCTGCAATTGCGGATGTTTATGGGCAGCGGTCGCTTTCCATTTTGGTGGATTCAGGTGGCCGCTTGCTCATTTGCCACATCGTATTAAAAAAAAAAACCTAATACACTATGTTACAGTTGATGTACGCGGGAAGGGCCGAGGCGGCTACTCCAGCGGTTGGCGCTGGTACACTACATCGCGTAGAAGTGGAACACGTGTTGAAAGAACCGCTGTATAACATAAAATAACATCAACTATGTCACTTAATATTTGTATAAAGATTTAACAAAACAATATGCGGTTTTTTTCTAAGTACCTAAAAATATCTACGCTTGGAACTATCAATGTTGAACTCAATATTATCACTCGTATACTCGGATATGTACTGAATTTGATTAAAAATGAATTCAACACATAGTTGCGTGTTTCTTTATAGTATCAACCGTTCATTTTCTACACCCAATAGACATCATTAGCGCATAAATACCTACGAAATCACACACACACACACTAACACACTCATACATAGTAATATTTGAATACACATACAACCTTTTTTATTGTAAATTTGCTTAGATTTATATTAGTGTTCTAAAAAAAAAAAAAAACTAGCACTAAGACGGAAGAACCCTGGCTCCTACAAGACGGGCCTAGAGCCTAGTGTAGGAACCAGGCGATCGACCACAATTGTATTAAAAGAATTTTTGTAACTTTATAAATAAATCTTTTAAATCTACTGAGAAATATACATATTATAAAAGAGAATTTTTATCCATAGAAAATCTATTTGTTATAATCTAACTCGTAACTAGGGTACCAGCATCCAAACTAACGCACTCAAAAAGGGACAGTTTCTGCGCAATATTGTTTAATCAATAACACAATAGCAACAGTCACCTTAATCTTTTAATCATGGCCGGAAAAGGCAAAGGTAAGAAAAAAGAAAAGAAATCGAAAGAGGAAGGTGGGGAAAAGAAGAAAGGTAAGAAGAGTGGTGGGAGATTGAAGAAAGGAAAGTCTAAAGGAAGATGTAACGTTGATATGCTGACAGAAGCTGCAATGGACAACGTGTACTACGCTTGTCATAATGTGCAGGAATTACTGCAGGCAAGAGGCTTCTTCCCTCCGGACTTCAATAAAAAGAAGAAGAAGGGAAAACGTTAAATATTCTTTACTTTTTATTACTATCGAAACAATACAAGTATTTATGTTAACTAAAGTGTTTTAATTAAATATTTACTGGAAGTGCTTTATTTATTAAGACTTTTTATTCTAAATCGAAAATTTTTAAAATATCTTGAAATTGAAATCTTTTTAAAATAAATTTAATAGGGTTACAACAAGGCCACTATTTCTAAAGTACTAGGATTAAAACTTTTTGTAGAATATGCGACCACTTTGGTGAAATACAAACTTTTTCATAAATAATTTTGATTTATGTTTGACATTTAACGACACTGTATTTTGACAATACAATAATTACAAATTCTCCGTGACTTTAAAGTTAACAAAATGTTACAAATTAACAGCATAAAATGACTTTACGAATAAATCCCGTAACCTTAAAATTACTCACCCAAAATTAGGAGCACAAGTATGTTGTTTTCTCGCTAGTTAAGAGTTTAAAGTGCAATGCCAACGCCAGCGGTGGGCATAGACCTTGGCACCACCTTCTCCTGCGTGGCAGTCTTCCAGCATGGCAAAGTGGAGATTATTACTAACGATCAGGGAAACAGGATCACACCATCCTACGTCGCATTCACTGATACCGAACGGTTAATCGGTGAATCTGCTATGAATCAGGTATTTAAACGATTTTTAAAAAGTGATAATAGACGAAGTACTTACATTTTTTAAATTTCAGATTGCTATGAATCCGAAAAATACTATCTTTGATGCGAAACGAATGATCGGAAGAAAGTTTAATGATCCTAAACTTCAACAAGACATTAAACATTGGCCATTCGAAGTTGTATCGGATAATGGGAAGCCGGGAATTGTGGTCCAATACAAGAAAGAACGTAAAAAGTTTACGCCTGAAGAAATTTCCTCCATGATTCTAAGCAAAATGAAACAAACAGCTGAAATGTATCTCGGAGGTACTGTCACTGATGCGGTTATTACTGTACCGGCATATTTTAACGACTCTCAACGACAAGCGACTAAAGACGCAGGAGCGATTACTGGATTGAATGTTCTTAGAATTATTAACGAACCAACAGCCGCCGCTCTCGCTTATGGCTTAGACAAAGATTTAAAAGGTGAGAAGAATGTACTAATATTTGACCTTGGCGGTGGTACTTTCGACGTTTCGATACTTCAGATTTCAGAAGGATCATTGTTCGAAGTAAAATCAACAGCAGGTGACACTCACCTTGGAGGCGAGGATTTTGACAGCCGAATGGTAGATCATTTCAGTCAAGAATTTGAACGGAAATTTAAGAAAAATATTACTGGCAATCCGAAAGCTCTTAGAAGACTGAGAACTGCATGCGAAAGAGCTAAACGAACACTTTCTTCGAATACAGAAGCTAGTATAGAAATAGACGCCCTGCATGAAGGAATAGATTTCTATTCCAAGCTAACTAGAGCTCGATTTGAGGAATTGTGTTCGGATTTATTTCGTCAAACGTTGGTTCCAGTTGAAAATGCATTGAAAGATGCAAAGATGAATACACGAGAAATAGACGATGTCATATTGGTTGGGGGATCTACTAGAGTACCGAAAATACAAAGGCTTTTACAGGTACAAAGGCAAATTGTGTCAGATATTTTTATACAACTATTATCTAATGTGTATGTTCTCTTTAGGAATTTTTCGGTGGAAAAACTCTCAACTTATCCATTAATCCTGATGAGGCGATTGCTTACGGTGCTGCCGTACAAGCTGCTATTATTTCCGGATCCCAAGAAGTTCGTCTCCAAGATGTGCTGTTAGTTGACGTGGCTCCATTGTCACTAGGCATCGAAACTGCCGGAGGTGTTATGACAAAATTAATAGAGAGAAACACTAGAATACCAATCGCTCAGAACAAAATTTTCACAACTTATTCTGATAATCAACCAGCTGTTACAATTCAAGTAAAGATTTTCAATAACGTTTAAAATGATTCGACCACTCTTTTATCACAGAATAATGATACATTGTAATTGTTTAGATTTATGAAGGAGAGAGAGCTCTTACAAGAGACAACAATTTATTGGGCACATTTAACCTTACTGGCATACCGCCGGCACCAAGAGGAATACCTCAAATTGAAGTGTGTAATCTTTTTCGTATGTTGTCGACTTCCTCTTACCTTATTTTTTGTTAAATATGATAGATGCATCTAGGTCTAATGACTAATGAACTTAAATGTGAATCCTGTTTACTTTTAGGTGTCATTTGATATCGATGCAAACGGTATACTAAACGTAACCGCTGAAGATAGAAGCACTGGTCGTTCTGAACGTATAACCATATCTAATGATAAGGGGCGTCTCAGCAAGAAGGAAATAGAGAAGATGCTACATGACGCTGAGGTGTACAAGGCAGAAGATGAAGCTGTAAGAAAGACGGTAGAAGTAAGGAATCAACTGGAGGGTTACATTTTCGGATGTAAAACGGTATGTAAAACAAAATATTCGCTAAAGGGTGATCAGACTAATATTATAAATGCGAAAGTTTAAATGGATGGATGTTTGTTAGAGTTTGTAGCCTAAACGGCTAAACGGATCTCGATGAAATTTGGCATAGACGTAGATGATAGTCTGGAAGAACACGTATGCTACTCTCTTTGTTTTAAGTCCACGGACGGTGTCGCGGCTGAAAGCTAGTGATTGCTAAATATCTCAACTTCATATAGGCAGCAGAAAATTCCGGCGGAAGACTTACCGATAGTGAACGAACAACAGTGGTTACGGAATGCACCAATCAGTTGCATTGGCTCGAGAGCAATCCGAATGCACCTACATCACAATTAGAGGAACATTTGAAAGCATTACAGGCGGTATGTCAGCCAGCTATGTTGAAATTGCACGGAGCAGCCGCGGGTGCGGGCGTCGGCTTTGGCGTTCCCGGTGTACGGCCGAGCACGCCAGGTCGCAGCGGACCCACTATTGAAGAACTTGATTGAACTCGATAGATCTTGATTAAAGAAATCGATTATGGAACTCAATTGCTTAATTCGATTGAAGATTTAGGAACTCGATTAGAAACGATTAAAATACTCGAAAAGGGTACTTGAGAGCTCAATTTACTTTACTACGCATTACGTTAATAAAAATTCTAAAATTGGAATTTGAAGTATTTTTACACAATTTAAACCTTTTTTTCATATCATGAAAGTCAAGGAAAGTAGACTAGAAAAATCGAGAAACATATCTTGACTCGTGTTTTTCGATTTTTGTAACCTTTTGTAAAAGTTATTAAATAAAAATCATCATAAATATTAAAAGTGATTTAATTGTCTAATAACAAAGCAAATCATACTTTACAAAAATATAACAATCTATAATAATTTTTGGTAAACAGGATTTCCTGTACTTATATGTGGTAACATTGTAATTATAAACACTGACAACCCATTTCCTATCTAAATCTATCCCAAGATAACTATAAATAAAAAAATGCACCATAATTCTCCCATACAATTAAACTATAGCCTTACAAATAAACGCGGTATAAAGTTAAACTTAGGAATAAACTGAGTATAAGCAAATATTAGTACAAATTTCGCTTATACTCAGTTTATTGTAAGGCTGTTACAAGTCACTAAACTAAAGGAAGTCCCATTCAAACCACAATTATTGTTAAATTTACGGCTTGCAAATTGACATTTTAATGAACATTACTTAAAAAAATCCATTCCTACAATACTTTACATAAATAAAAATAAACTACGTATAAAACATAATGGTCCTTCGAGCCGGATAGTCATATTAATTTGTTCCAATTATAGTATAGTACTAAATTATTTTAAATATCAAATACAAAAATCTATACAATCCTTGTAATAAACTTAACCCTAATAACAATTATCACTTGGAATATCTTCTATTTACGTTTTGAACTTAGTAACACAAAAACACATACAATATTTTTTTGATGTGATTTCTGATGAGTGTGTGTGCCGGAGGCCAACCCCCCCCCCCCCC